TACTTTTATTTTAATATTTGATATATGTTATGTATGTTGTTAGGACATTTAATATAATTATGTCCTATAGAACATAATATAATTTTAAGATCCATTTATAAATTAAAATCTATGTAATACACATGTTGATAACATAAATGAGCAAAAATAACAACGTACTTTGAAAGTATGTTGCTATAAATAACAGAAATTGTTCATGTTACTATTTTTTGTTAATAATTTTTTTTATAGTTTTTAGAACTCAATAAAATTATATGTTTCCGGACATAACTCTAAAATAACAATCAAAATTATATAGGTTTTGTTCATAACCCTAAAATAACAAAGTATAATTCGAAATTAAAAAAATAAATAAATAATATTTAAATAATAAATTCCAAAGACGTTTGTATGATTTTTATGCGTTCCTCCGCGTTTAACGCGGGTTATAATCTAGTTCCCAGATTAAAAGGAAGGTGGCAATACATCAATATAATGTCAAGAAACTCTAGTTTTTTTTTTAACTAAAATCATTTAATTTTTTTTTTGATAGAAAAAAATTGCCCTCCGTTATCTTAGAGAGATAAGTATGAAAACTTAAATTTCCAAAAAAAAAAAAATTAATTTTTTGAAAACCACCCAATCCTAATGAAAAACTAAGTTTAAGTTCTTGAAAAAAATCAAAACCCATTTTCGTCGTATTTCTTTGAGCTTTCTGTTTCTGTTGTTACTTCCATGAGTTCGGTGTCCACTCTCACGCCCTCCTCTGCTTCTTGGACCTTTGTTGACTTATTGGGTGTTTTAATCACTCTTAAGGCTTCGAATTTCCACCTATGAGCCACTACGTCAACCACAGTCGATTGTCGGACGTATATTGCCGGTCGTCGTTGACTCTCCAGTTGTACCTCTTGTTGGCCGCAGATCAATATTGTGGTCCTATGGCTCTTCCTCTCAATAAATCGTATATCTCTAAGCCTTTAACCCATATTTCTTCCGTAAGGGTTTGTATATCTTTGTAATTTATGCATCATTGAAATTTGGGAGAGATGGGTAAGGTAAAATAAATGAATCTGATAAAAGACTAAAGAGAACCTAACCTATCAAAATAGTTTTTTCTTTTCTATATATTTTATAATTATTATATAATTCTTTTAATGTTTCACTGTATAAATGATCTATTTATATATTAATAAAAAAAACTTAATCAATATAATCTTTAAAATTTTTAGTTTTTTTTGGTTTTATAAACCGGAAAGTCTTTGCTTTTTATTTACAGTTAAAAAAACTAGTACATGATTGTTACACGAAAAATTCAATTTTGTTAATTTTGTTTAATATATATAAACTTATTTTATCGTGGGAAATAGTTTTACATTAGTATGACATTTAAAAATATTTTATAAGCCCCTCTGTATTCAAATCCTGCTCCGCCCCTGGCTCCTGGCTACGACATTGGCATTGGTAGGTCAATATTATTGTCCCTAGCTGAAATCCAAATGCCTTATATATCTGTCATTTCCTCAAAATCTCCAACTTAATATATTTTTCTGCTTATATTCGTCCCTCTTCTAAGGTATTTTTCTTTCAATGTTAACGTTGATTTGGTTTTCCCATCTAACCAACTCTAACTTTGTTGCTCATCAAAGGAGTTTGAGCACCTAACATGTAGTTGTTCTCACATGATAAACAAGGTCTTGGAGATTGCGGCTCATCTTAATAAAACCCAAATCGTTTGATTTCTTGTGGATTTGTGTAATTAGGGAAATATCCTTACTATATTAGGGATTGAGTGGATTTTTGTCTCTTTGATTCATATCGGAATCATTAATGTAAATGTAAATGATTTGGGTTACATTCATGTCTAACAAGTCAAAGAAGGAAAATTAAATAAATAGAAGTTAGTTAAAAATGATATTGTCTGGGTTAATTGTCAAAAGCGTTTTCAAATGTCAACATGCCAACTCTCGTATTAAAAAAAAACAAAACAAAACAAAACAAAACAAAACAAATTATTTCTTTTAATATAGTTTTTTTAAGTACAAAAACACAAACCTAGCTACTTTCTTGTCAACGAGATTATCGCATGGGCACAAAAAAATAAGAGAATTTTACTTTTCAAAGTCGATTTTGATAGAGCATTTGATTCCTTAAACAGGGAATATTTGGACTCAGTGCTCTCTCTCTCGGATGGAATTTGGTAACAAGTGGAGATCATGGATTATGGGTTGTCTCGAGTCGTCTAGAGCCTCTGTTATTGTTAACGGATCACCTACTAAGGAATTTAAGATAAGCAAAGGAGTGCGCCAAGGGGACCCTCTCTCACCATTCTTGTTCATCATATCCATGGAAGGCCTAAACACAGCCCTCAAATCAGCAATAGAAAAAGGATTGTATAAAGGAATCGAACTCCCAGGAAGTGGCCCAACAATATCTCATTTATTCTACGTGGATGATGCATTGTTCTTGAGTGAGTGGTCCAGGTCTAACCTGAAGAATCTGTCTTGTATTCTCATGCATCTTTAGGTCTAAAAGTCATGTTTTCGAGTCCAAGGTATTTGGCATCGGCGCAGATAGAGACTTCTAATTAGGCAAGTTTGCTTGGATTTGAGGCAGACACTCTACCTTTCACCTACCTTGGAGTTCCGGTTGGAGCCGATATGAACTTGGCCAAGAATTGGAGTCCAATAATTAGCAAGATTCAAGCTAGATTGTCCAGTTGGAAAGAAAAGACACTCTTATTTGGTGGCCGAGTGACATTAATCACATCAGTTCTAGGTAACTTACCTACATATTACCAATCCTTGTTCAAAGCCCCAATTAAGGTGTTGGAATCAATTGAGAAAATTAGAAGATCTTTTTTATGGGGCACAAATGGAAAAAAGAGGAAAACACATTGGGTATCATGGAAACAAGTTACCACACCCAAAGAATTGGGTGGTCTTGGAGTCGGATCAATTTGAGCATTAAATATTGGTCTTATGATCAAATGGTGGTGGCCAGGGCCGGCCCAACTACATAGGCAAGTTGGGCTTAGGCAGCAAGTAATAATATATATATATATATATATATATATATATATATAATATATATAAATTTGGCCCAAAAATTAAGCCCAATTACTTCAATCCAATAATAAACAGCGATCGACAACATTAGGCATCACCGATTCTTGACTCTTGAGCGCCACGTTGAGAACGCAATCGTCAAAATGAACGCAATCGGACAGTGGGGAGATCGAGGAGTCGACCAACGTTCAAATCGACTGAAGTATTTGTTGTGTGGTTTGATTTGCCGATTCTCATTCCTTCCTCTCAATTTCTTATTCAATCTTCTCTAAAACTGATAGTCTATACATTCAATCGATCTTTCAACATCTGCTTTTTGATTTCTAATTACTGAGTTCGAAGACAAAGATCGATTTCCTTTTCAACGACAACAAACGAAGGGACCCAAGAAATCAAACACAACCCGGTGACCGGAGACACAACCCGATTGCCGATTTCTATTCTCCGTTCTCATCCACTCGATTTTTGGGTGAGTTTTCTTCAATTGATTGTGATTTTGCTAAACTAGTAAACTTTTAGCCATCAATCATCGTTTCTTTGTTCTTAATATGATTAATTGATTATTGTGATTTGTTGTTTGAGTTGCAGACTTGGAATTTTCTATTGTTTTCAAATAGACAACGAAGTGAACGAATTCTATCAGTTTCTGAATTCTCTTCTCATCTTCTGCTCTTCAACTGATTAGGGTAAGTTCTCTACTTTTCTTCAAATGATTCTGTTTGAACACCAAACGTCCAAACCTGCTGGCTGCTGCATCAATCTATCACCTCTAAATATGGTTTTTACGGTTTGTTTTAGGAGTCAGAAATTTTTTTTCTTACCTGTTGGATTACAATAAAAAAAAGTAATCTTTTGTTTCTGATACAAATTCGAGCATCAAATTCTGTTGTTGGTATATGAGATTTATGGTTTACTTCATGTATAGTTTCTGATTACTATGGTTTGTTTATGATACAAATTTCTGAATTACTTTTCTAAAGTTTTGTTCATGTTTCTATGATGTGAATCAGGACTTAGGACTTGGGACTTGGGAGGCTGATTTTTGTTTATTTTGAAATCTTGAAATCTACTGCTTTGTATTTTAGTCTCTTGAAAGGTATATATTTATTTCATTGTAGTGTTATTAGTCAGTAGTTGTTGAAAATGGATTTGTATTTCTGATTTTATGTTTTATTTTTCATATTATTGACATCTTCAAAGTGGGAAATAAAAACGAAAACTTTGGTCAGGTTGTATCTTTTTTTGCTTAGCTTTTATAACTAGATTTATTGATTTTTTTTCTTTGCTTAGCTTTTGTATATTTTGTTTGTATTATTTGTTTGATTATAAAAATTACTGCATTTTTTATATTAGAAATTACTGCATTTGTTTGATTATATGTTTTTGTTATTGTACGGTACACATATAAGGGCATAATTTTTTTATCTTGCCCCGGGTAGTAAAACACAATGGACCGGCCCTGGTGGTGGCGTTTGAAGAATGATACAACATCTTTTATGGGGACAAACGGTAACGGGCATACACAATCTCCACAAAAAACCACACGATTACTTATGTAAGAAATCTATCACGGGGGTTTGGAAAAATATTATTGGGACAGTAGAAGACATTAAAGCACACGGTTTGAGAATAAACGATATATTCAAGCATGTAACAATCTCTCTCTGGAGAACAAATCCTATTTTGGCAACATATGAAAAATTAAAATCAAAATATCTGTCACTCTATGAGCTTGAATCCAACAAAAGATGCATTGTAGCAGATAGAGTGAAAGTCAACTCCTGGAATTGGAAGTCGTGTCCTATAGTTGTTGGTTTATCCATTGAACTACAAAACTTACTTAATGAAACAGCTTCATGCCATTTAAATGATGGCCCGGATCGATGGCATTGCTTGCTAGCTCCAGATGGAAAATACACGGTGGGGACTCTCAAGGGAAAAATAGACCTTTTTGCACTACAATCTACAACACTTCCTATAATCAATTGGTGTAAAATTGTCCCACTCAAGGTGTTGTGTTTTGTATGGCGTGCAGCTCAAGGTCGTATCCCTTCTGCTACAACATTATAACACAGAGGAGACAACATTAACAACACTACATGCTCGAATTGTATTGGAAAAGAAGAAGATGTGGACCACATATTGTTTAACTGCCCTTTTGTTGAACTTATAAGAGAGAATTTTTACCTGGTGTGGAATAAACCAAAATGGTATTAACAACAGTAGAGATCTTCAATTTGTGGCTTCATGGGGAAGATGCCCTAAACTTCGAAAGAGACTAATAGTCATATGTTATGGGATGCTCTGGATGAACTCGAAGTGCAGGAATGAAAAACTGTTTCAAGGTGCATTATTATCAACATCTAGTATAGTCGATAAAATCAAGTCTTTATCTTATCATTGGCTCAAATGTAGGGGAAAATGCGATGTAGGTAGTTGGTTGAGTTGGAACTCTTCACCCGTGTCCCCATTGTAACACATCTCTTTTATTTCTATTATGCCCTTGCCTAGTTGCTAGGCTTGTGGCTTCTTAATAATATTTGTTGTTTCTTATAAAAAAAAAATTAAAAAAAATAAAACAAAAAACTTACATGACTTTTTACATTATATCAATTTTTTACTTGCTTTTTTTTATCATAAATAATGAGCCTATACGAAATCCAATATTTAATAGGAGTGCCACCTAACAATTTTTTTTATATAACACGACACGACACTATATCCGACATGAAAAATACCTAATTTAAATATGAAAACACGAGAAAAGATAAAATAATATAACCATCACTTTAGTTAATTCATAATTAAAACAAGACAAACACATGTTAATATCATGTCAAAATTTGAAGACGAACATGACACTGTTGTCGTGTTTGTTACACTAGACATTTCTTCGGCAGCTATCCATACAAACCATACATGTTTCTTTTGATGATCACATCGAGGGGGCACACCTATTGATGCACCTGCAGACACTCATATTGTAAACGCTTGTGTTAAGGGGAGCACATTATTGTTGGGTCTAATAATGATGCTCATGATTGTAATGATATTCTACAATGTTGAATTGTTGATGATATGTTACTACCTTTGAGGGGGGAGCAACAAGAAGTCAAGAAGTATCCCAAACCGCTGATCATCCGGTAGTTTATGTTCAACATGAAAAAAGACTACTTAAATGGACAAAGGATTGTCATGTTTGACAAGTGTTAGGGAGCCTTTTTTCTTTTCTGGTGTTTGAACTCGAGTTGCTACTTTTAAAGGATGTCTATATACAAGTTTTCTATCCATGATTGAGCCAAAAAATATCAAAGAATCTCTAGAAGAACCAAATTGAGAGGAACAACTATGGCATTGGTTCCAACACCTGAAGGAAGGTGTCTTTGTCTCTAAGGTAGGCTTGAGATGGGTTCTCAAGAACAAAAAAATATGATCAATGTATTTTTATCATAAACAAACCTAGACTAGTTGTCAAATGCTACTCTCTGATGAGTCTTCAAAGTCTATCAAAAGGACGAATATTGTGCTTTCCTCAACAGTGAATGTGAAATTGACAGATATATATTTAACAACCTCTTGGTTTTGAAGACCCTGAGTTCCTACTCATAGTTATAAGCTTGAAAAACTTTTAACATATTTCACGAAAGGTATTTCAAACTTCATCATCAGATCCTTCTTTAGAACATAATGAAATCATACGAGTGCTTTAAGTAAAACGGGTTTCATAATTAGGATATAAAGAAGTCGTTGTGCGAATACACTTTACAAATTAGCCAACACAATTTGACTTAAGGTGTTTTTGTGAAGTAATGAACTTCTTTAAGGTCATTTTTTGATGAAATACTAAAACAAAGTCATCATAATAACACTCCCCAAACGTGGCTTCACTGTTGAAGATAAAGCAACATTTAAACCGTTTCCTTTTCAGTTAATTCATTTAAAATTCAACCCATTATCAATAAAACCCAAATAAACCCGTTTTCACTACAAATGCTCTAAACTACCTGTATCACCAAATGTGTAACTTTACAACCATGAAGGTCAAAGCTCGTCTTTTGAATTTGTCTGGTAGCACTGTTCATCCCAGAAATATGGAAACTTAAGTCTTGCAGCAGTGTGTGGCATTAGCCAATCATCATACATGAATCTGCATAATTTTGTAGCCCATAAAGGTTAGCAGTATAAATAATATACATGACATAGTAACATATTATAACAACAACAGAAAGATTGGAGTAATCACTTACATTTTAGCTGGTGGACGAGATATAACAACCAGAACTTGCAAATCTTCTTTGTCATTTGTGTTCCAAAGCTGCAAAAAAGGATTCATCATGATCCATGTATATCATGTATGGAAGATAACAGCAGAATGATTAATTACCTGGTGAGCATCATTAACAGGGATGTAAAATGTGGAATTTGAAAAGACACTAAACTCTTGAGGCTTTCCAGGGGACTTTGAGTGAGAATTTGAGGAAAGATAAAGAGTGCCGCTCCCTTTTAAAACTATGAAAACTTCCTCACATGAATGTCTATGAATCGGTGTGCGTGCTCCTGGAGCAAAGGTCTGAAGCCATATCTCAACCTATTGAGAACATATTTGAGAAAAGGTCATCAAAAACTTACACATTTGGTAATATGCTTAGCTTAACATGGTGATTTGTGGTGGATTTTGTCACCTCTTTCAGCCCATGCATGAGGGAACCTGCAACAGTTATGTGAGATAAGCCAGGTCTTCCATAGTTATCTTGTGGTAGCTCATTGATGTTCCTCACTAATGGAAATCCTATACAACAAAGGAAATGATCAGATAAAAGTTCATATTTGAAACTAAAAATGATTATAAACATGACAATATGCACAAACATCAAAGATCTAATTTCAAATTGATTATTGCGAATTCAGAATGATACAATTAGTTACCACAAGGCGATTAAAGTCTGAATCATTAGGTAATTTTACATTTCTAGTCCAAAGTTAAGAGGCAATTACTTGCCTGCTTGACAAAAAACAAATTGCGTTGCCACATACGGAAAAATTAGTTATCGAGACTTCATTCAAACACTCGTAAGTACGTCATTAGGGCAATCATATATAACTAAAACGCAAATTTGGGTAAAAACAAATGCAGCAAATTATATTAGGACTCAATAACGAAATTCGACACTAATATACAGATACGAGCTTATGAAACAGAAACCAAACTTCAAAGTTTAAATAACCAAATTGAATTGTTTATGAAATTCGTGTGTAGAATAGAGAAGCAGCCGACCGTTGGTTGAACACTGGGAGGCGGAGACGGTGGCCGTGAACAGAGAAATCGTAAGCATGTACAAAATCACAGTAAGCTCCGCCATCTCTCTCTCTCTCTCTCTCTCTCTCTCTCTCTCTCTCTCTCCCCCTCACTCCCTCTATTCAGTGGGCACGAAATCGATGGCGACGCCACTGCTCACTTCAACTTCCACGTATAATTCATTTGTTCTGGAAGTTAGGAGAAAAAGAATAAATAAAGTGTAAGCGAGTGTTCTAGGCTTCTAGCAATTTATATTTTGCCAAATTTTAAAAAACATTATACTATGTATTTCACCATTTAAATATATATTTTTTTCACTTAACCACTTTATTTTTTATTTAAAATACCATTACAAAACATTGAATTTTAGAAAATCCTGTAAAAAATTTCAGTTTAATCACTCGATATTTTTCTGTGATTTAATAATTAAATTTTTGAATTTGTTTAAAAAAAACCATCATTAACAAGAAAAATCGTGTCCAAATTGTTTTTTACAATTTATTACCAAAAAAAACTCACAACCGTTTTTTATTAAAAAAAAAGAGAAACAAACTTTCAATGATTAAATAAAAAAATCATATGATTAAACAAAAAAAATCCAAACGACATGGTTTTTTTTACGTCGTGTTCGGCACGGAGCGTTTGAGAGCTTCTGGCTTCTAACGTTTGACAAAACGCTCCGTTTCAAACAGAAAGTCTCGTTTGGCACAACGACCTTCTAGTGTTTACTTTAAACAAAACGCTCCAAATCCAAAAGTTACTTCACGTAGCGTTTAACAAACTGCTACCAGCTAGAAGCTACCCGCTAGAAGCTATCCGCTACCAACTATTTTTGCCGAACACGCCCTTAATTTGTCCATATATTTTATTCAATATATTTATATTATATATTTATATCAAATAAAAGATATAGAATCAAATATAGGATTTAATTATTAAAAATCATTCTTATAGATTAATGGTGTACCCGGGTCGGCCAGATATACAAATACCGATCCAGAATCCTCCTGACTTAACAACAAGAAGATCGTCGTTTGACAAGAACGAACCATGGGTGAATAACAACACACATCGGGCAAATATCTTAGGGCAAACATATCCCAGGAAAAACACAATGTACAGATACCTGTAATAAACAAATATAAAGCAGTATAAGGCAAATAGTTGTCCTTACCCGGACTACGCAGAAACCAAGTAAGAGCCTGAACTGATACACTTTCGAATGTCTATAAAAGCCAAACATCGCCAAAGGAAAGAGGTAGAAGTGTCTCACCATATGCAATTTAGCAATACTCCAAATCGACATCTAACTTAGACATCAGAGAGCAATATTGTGGTCCATACATCGGTATCGCTTTCTAACCTGGTATTTGTCTATCTTTTGCAGTGTGCCTTTCTGTTTGTGCATTATAAGATGAAACGACCAGATCACTATCAGACATATGGGAGGTTATGTAGCAACACTGACGTGTTTGTTTATAAATGTCATAGGAGTTAGGATTATTTCCTACGCTATATGGGCTATGTTTTGTTCTGTGAATTAATACCACATGTCTTAGTGAAAGTCCCTTGCGTTATAACCGTTGATCCGTATGTAACGCGAAACGTCAGGTATAGATCGACGGCATTGATCTATACAGGTAGACATCCCGCACACATGTTGTTAGCTATAACCATCGTCTGACGAGTCGAGTTTGGCGTTGACGTTTCTATTTTATTTACTCCACAACATTGATAAAGCGTTAATGTGGAACTTTTAGCACGCCCCCTTTTGTGCTGGTGTAGGGTTGCGAAGTCGTAGTTCGGTTATGAGCTCATTACAGATCCCTAATTTGTTTGTAACCGTAAAGAATTAATATTGGATTTATAAAGGGTTTTTGATCACTTATAAGTTGAAAGAGACCGTATGTAGTGAGATAGTTTGTGACTCATATTGATAAGTGTCAATACCCAACGTTAAGTCATATAACGCTTAATTAATACTACGACACGATCATACAAAGATTATAAACCTTAAACCTATGAGTTCTACGTATAAACTATAGAATTGCTTGTATGAAATTCCAAGAGTAAAGTTGGTTATTTTATGTTTTCAAAAAGTGTGACGTGTTTTTATTTTAAATAATTTGGTATTCAAAATCCTTATATAAAAATGCATTTTGGCTAGAGGAAACGTAAAATTTGATATAAGTTTGACTTACTTATATGTATTTTACCAAATTTTATACTTTTGGATTTGAAAAAACGATATTTCTAAATGAGTCCAAATACACTTTTATAACTCATTTATTTTATATACTTTTGATAGAAAAATACGTATTTATAAAAGTTGGTTAACCAGATAAATTTTATAAAACACTTTTGGTTATAAAAGTACTTTGTGTCAAAACCTATAGAGCTCACCAATAATATTTTGTTGATGTATCTTAATGCATGTATTCTCAGGTTTATTAGCAGGTCAGAAGAATTTGCATAGAAGATTTTTCGTTATTGTACTACATCCTTGTAAACATCAAATAGTTAGGCGTGTGTAGTGATTTATCAATAGTTATCAACAATGTAAATTTTATTTCGGTAATAATATAAGATTATATTTGTATAGTTCAATGTATGTTCAATAACTGTGATCATTGATTTACGTCACGCACCTCGGCGTTTCCGCCGTGAGTGTGACAGAACAACATCAACAAAGCCATCAATAAAGCCACATACCAATAAACACAATTCAACATTGTTGCCAACGACAATAAAATTGTAACTGACACGAGAATAAAGGATCCTCAAGACAGTGTCAAGGAGCATAATGATACGGTCCATCGAAAAAATCAAATGGTAAAACATGTAGAAACATGCAGTAAGGTGAAGGACAAAACAACCTTGGATAAGCTATTCACTAAGCAACACACACAACAAAGATTAATAAGGGGAGACGAACCAATCCTAATACTTGTCCATATCTAAACTATATGTATTCACTGGATATATTTGCGATAATGGTAGTTCCACGAAAATATGTAATCAAAGCATTTCCGTGGAAATGTATTTTATTCATTTTAAAACTTTGGGATGTCAACGTCAATACGGAAACATAAGCATAAACAGAACTTACATTCATTACACTAGTGATCTATATCTCTTTAATCTCTCGGTGTAGTGTAGCTTTATATCGACACCCGTGATACAAATAAACTGAGTGGGCCAGGTTGGAAAACCTGGTGAGTACACTGGGTTTTCAACCCACAATAATAAAGTTATTATGTTTCATCATCAAACAATTAACCCAATTACCCATCCCCATTATCTTATTTATTTATTAAGGATCTACCCTAAGAATCATCTATCACTCATTCCTAAGGGTTTTCCTAAGGAATAGACACGAAGTCCATCGTCGCCATGGTTTATTCACCAGGCACTAAATCCATAGTTGCCAGGGTTCATCCAACGGTTGCTAAGTCCATAGCTCTCTTTTATCGACAGTATTATTTGTGGGAGTCCACCTGCAATACATGTCAATGGGTTTTTAGAGTACACCTGGTGAACATATCGTTCACAACACCTATATGTTGCGAGCCTGATAGTGTTCCACGGACCGTCTAGAATAGTCCATGGTTGTCATCCATACTCTGCTAGATGACGGGGTCATCGTTTGGGTAAAGGTTTCTCTCATTTTTCACCCCTCACCTTCATCTCACGATCTATATCACTTTTTCATCTCGGCCTTCAACTCATTTTTCATCACCCACCAACTTATTTCATCTACCCATGTTCTACCCAACATATTAGTAGATATAAAATACATATACAGTTCAGATCTGAAGAAAAAGTTTACAGCTGTAAAGAAAATACATATACGGTTCATATATGAAGAAAAAGGTCTAGATCTGAAAAAAAAAAAAACAAAGTTTAAATCTTTCATCCAACATAACTTTCAAAGCATAAAATACATATACAGTCTAGATCTGAAGAAAAAGTTCAGATCTTGAAAAGAAAGAAGTATAGATCTTCATCCAGCATACATCTTATACATCTCAGGTAAACAGGTAATATATATATATATATATATATATATATATATATATATACACACACACACACACACAAAGAACGTAATTTATATAAAATACTTCATATCTATGTGTAAGATGAAAGTGACCATGCACTCACTTGATAAGGGGGTGATTTGGACAACACTTCGCTTCTTAAAATAATCTTCTTTGATGAAACCGGGAGGTTTGCTTGAAAACCGGGCTCTGTGCGGGCAGAGTTTCAAACCGAAAATCTCTTTTTCTCGGAGCCTTCTAGCGCTCCGGGGCTTTCTTCAAGTGCTAGGGAAGTTTCCTAGGCTTTTGGGGGTGTTTTGGGAGGTTTAGAGAGTGAGTAGAGAGAGAAAGAAGTGGGGAAGGAGTGAAGGATGAAGGTTGGCCTCGGTTGGTATTTATAGGCTGAAAATGGGGTGAACTCGACGAGTTTCTGGCCCAACTCGTCGAGTTTCTGACCCCCAACTCGTCGAGTTGCTGGTCCAACTCATCGAGTCGGTGCCACGTTTCGACATCTGGTGCGGAGAAAGCAATGGCTCAGATTGCGTCACGTCACCCATTTCGCTGCAGCACCCTGCCGACTTCTAAACCCCGTAACTTTCGCATACGAGCTCCGTTTTCGACGTTCTTTATATCCACGGGTAGGTGGGAGCATTCTCTACAACTTTTATTTAGACTCCATCGACTAATTATCAACCGATTTTAAATTTAACAGTATGAGAATATTACACTGCTAAACGACCGTGTAGAATTCATAACTTCTACATACGGACTCCGTTTTCGACTGTCTTTTTCGTTGAACTCCTATTAATGAGATCTTCAATTCTAATTTAGGTTGTGTAGGCTAAAAATCGCTCGATCTAAAATTCGAACTTCGGGTTGTGCACTGCCGATCAGAAACTAAGAAAAATCATAACTTCCTCATACGAAGTCAGATTTGGGCGTTCTTTTTAGGCACTCTCTCGGTTTAACGAACACTATGAATTTCGTTTAGATCGCTAGGGCTAAAAAGTCCTCTATTGTAAATTCACTATTTACGTCACGCAATGTCGTGCCGGTTCTGTCGCGAAACTTCGACAGGCCATAACTTCTTCGTTATAACTCGGATTTCGGCATTCTTTATATTTCCGGAATCGTTGTCACGACCACTACAACTTTCTTCATAGATATCGG